CCTCCCCCTCCTCCTCCCCCTCCTCCTCATCCTCCTCCTCCTCTCTGTTCTCTTGCCCTCACGAGTGGCAGGTCTCGGCCGGCGCAGGCGGCGCGCGGCAGGCCCGCGCACGTGGCGCCCGCCGCCCGGGCTCCCGCGGCGTGCCCGAGCGCGCGCAGGGCTGCATGCGGGGGGCAGCCCGCGCGCTTGGCGCCGGCGGAACGCCCGCGCCGTGTCCGCGGGGTCGGGGGTGGCAAGGCCCAGTCATGCGACCACCCCCCCCCCCCGTTCAGTTTCGTTCCGTGCGTCGCCCGAGCGGCGCCCGTGCGCCGGCCCCGGTTTTTGCGTCCGTGTCCCGAATATCCCGGCCTCCCAGAGTGCGTGGGCGACATAGGGCGCGACCTCGGCATTTCCTTGACGAAATGTATGCGTCCCCCTTCAGGGGGATCTTCGACGAAAAAAAGAAAATATTCAACAAAACATGTTCAAAACATGTCAAAACATGTTTTGAACATGTTTTGACAAAGCATGTTCAAAAGATGCCCAAAAATATTCAAAAACAAGTCCCCTGACTATGTCGTGACTATGTTTGAAGATTCCTCCTGTAGAGGGACACGCCCGAATTATCTCTTCCTGGCCCCCCTCACGCGATGCACCACGATAACAGCAGTCGCTGCCGTTGATGTCGCTGTCACCGTTGCTGTCGCTGCTATCTCTATCGCGGTTGTCGTTGATCTCGCCGTCCTTCTCGCCGTCGTCGTTGTTCGGCGCACCCGGGCGAGGCCGCCCACCCCACGCCCCCCGCCCGCGGTCGCCCCGCGCTCCCCGACGAGCCGCCGATCGCCGCCCGCGGGCGCGCGAGCGCCCCCATTGGGCGCGCCCGCCGCGCGGAGGGGGTCGGCCGGCGGGCACCCCGCGGCCGCGCCGGGGGAAAAAGAGGAGGGGCGGGCCCTTCCGCTGCACCCTGACCTTCTAGAGTGCTACCAATAAGCCCTCCAGACCTATATAGACCTATCTGGACTGCCCAAAACCTCCAGACCTATAGACCTATCTGGACCTAACAAGTAGCCCTCCAGACCTATAGATTTTTTAGAGTGCTAACGAGTAGCCCTCCAGACCTGTAGACCTATCTGGGCTGCCCAAAACCTCGATCGGATTTCGATGTCGAGGTCCTGGTGCTATTTTCTGGCCCTCCTGGAAGGTCAGGGCAGGAGCAGCGCCCTGCCGGAGCGGCCTCCGGCGCGCGGCTCTCGGGGGCGGGGCGCAATCTGGGGCCCGGCCGTATCGGGCCTGTCCCCCTTACAGGGGATTTTCGACGGAAAAAGAGCAAATACCCCAAACATGCCCCAAAAAAGTATGAAAATGCGCAGAAAATAATAGTCCCCAAACGATGTTTGGATTATTGTTTGATTATTTGTGGGGTATTCTTTTTTTTCGTCGAAAATCCTCCTGTAGGGGGACACGCCCGACTTAAGCCCAGCCCGGGCACGCTCCGCCGCCGCCGCGCCGCGGTCGCAGCGACAGCGGCACGCCGCGCGCCAGAGGCCACCCCCGCAGTCCACGAGGCAGGCCAGCCACAGCTGGATGAGCTGTGGTCCTGACCCCCCCGGGGGGCCCTTCGATTTCGACACCCCTCTCGAGGGCTCGTCGATGCGACGGGTTCCCCCAGGGGGGTAAGGACCACAGCTCCCCCAGTTATGGCTGGTCGGCGGGGAGGGTATGCGGAGGAGAACGGGGAGGGCTGGGGGGTCGCACTGGGTAGGGGAAGCAGGGGTGCGAAGGCCAACCGCAAGCCCAGTCCACCCTGAACAGGGATCGTTGCCGGCGTTGCCGCGGGCGTTGTCCATGCGAGACAGGGGGGCATCCCGCCCAGCAGCACCCGCGGTCGGATTTGGACCACACGTGCTGTTTGGCACTGTACCCCTTTTTCTGTTCCATGCACATGGCGGGCGCCCAGTCCAGCGGACGCAGGTGCGAGGGCCGTGACTGGCGCGGCGCGCCTGGCGCGAGGGCGCGCGGAGCGGGTGGAAAAGCAGAGGGCGGCCGCGGAGGAGAAGAGAAGAGTTAGGTCGGGCACGTCCTGCAACAGGAGGAATGTTCCAAAGTAAGCATTGGAAATGTCTGGGGACGATGCGTTTAGCATGTTTAGGTGTTTTTTGAGCACTTGTGGATTTGATGTTCTTTCCAAAATCTGCCTGCCTGTAGGAGGACGTGCCCGGCCTAACGGAAGAGGAGGTACGGCCTGCGAGGATCGACGGGTGGGTGGCGCCGCGCATGCGGCCTCGGGCCCGGGTGGCGGCGTGCACTACGAAGAGCAGCGCCAGGAGGACTTCGCAGAGGCAGAAAACAAGCAAACCTAGATTAGTGGACGACGATCCATTGAGGGGAAGCGTGTTGCCAAGTAATTTCCAGACGTCTGAAACATGTTTCGAACATGCCGTAGGCATGTAGATCAAAACATGTGTTGGGCATTTGTTAGAGCATGTCTCAAACATTTCAAACACACTGTTAATTTAATGATCGGATTGTTAGGGTGTCAATTGTCATGGCATCCACAAACCTAGATCTACTGGCGTCCTGAAAAACCGGGGATGAGAGACTGGCCCCAGGGAAAGGGTCGGGACTTCCAGGGACCCCGGATTGAACAAATCGGGGCACTGCATGCTTTAGTGCAAAGGGAAGGAAGGAGGACAGGATAGCGATGCCGCTGCGCGCTCTGGAGAGCCCTCGTCGCCACGGCTGGATTCTCCCCGAAAGTCTGGTCAGAACGCGCCCCGGGCGAGGTCCGTGGCGTGGAGGTATCGGTGGGTGTGTGCCTCCCCGAGTTTGTTTCGAGCGAACCCCACTCGAGAACGCGAGGCGGATCCCCATTGAGTAGCAGTCCCCTTGGGGCTTAGGCCGCAGCATGCAGTCGTCATTCGTCGCAGACGCGAGGCGGGATGCCGAGGAAGCACCAGGACCCATGGGGCCTGGCGGCCGTGGTATGCAGAGTGTGCGACGCGGGTCGGAAGCTGGGTTCTGTAAGCCTAGCGACCCCAGCCTGTCGGGTGGGGCGACATGTTGTTTCGAGCGATCCTCACCAAGGATATGTAGATGTTTGATAGATTGTCCTGATGTCTCCTCTTGATGCATGTCCTCGGTTTATGTTCTCGACGTGTGTTGTTGATGCGTGTTATTGTGACCGGTTGCTGCTACGATGGGTCTATCTCGGGTCGGCATGGCGTCGTGAAGCTTGTCTTTGTTGCTTAGTCGTGGATTGCCTTCACTGCTTTATCTCGTGGGGCTGGCTGCCGTTTCCTAAACGGTAGTTGTTGCGTGCGGTGTTTGTCGGGCCAACGTGACGTCATGACGAGTGTTGTGCCTGAGCCGTCGTGGAATACCCGCAGCAATTTGCAGTATCGCAGGGACTCACATTTATACACGACCTACTTCGTTGGTTTTTGTAACGGATGCATGTTTTAAAGCTTGGATTGCCAAGCTGTGCGTTGCCGCCGCAGTCACTACTTCTGAGTCGGTTGATCCAGGATCGGGTTCTTCCCGTGCCGAAGTCTCGTCGTGACGCCTGCCACGCCTGCCTCCCTGTCCTGGAGTTCGCTTCTAGCTTGTCTGGTCATACTGCCCAAGGCTGGGGTTGGCAATGCTTGCTTAATCGTGGAAGGGTCGCCGTTTCTTCTCACCATGCTGTCGAACGTGTTCCCTGGCTGCGCCTGCCGTGGCGTCTGTCGTATGCAAGGCCGGCGTTGTTGCGCGTGATTGCCGTCGGGCCATCGTTCTGCACGAACCAGATGCGCACGGAAAGAATGGGTACAATGCCCAACAGCAGTTCCTGTTCATTTTGAACAGGACTCGCTGTCCGCGCCGCCGCGGCCTGTATTCATTTGAGACTGAAGGCCGCCTGCCCAACAGTGGCCGCTGTTGGTTTGGGACATCATTTGTTGTTGGGCATTGTACCCATTCTTTCCGTGCCCATTTCGGGCGTCCAAAATCGTGACGTCGCGGCGCGTGTCGTGTTTTGCACGTCGTCTAATCGGTCGTCGGTGCGCCTGGTATCTTACATGGCAAGCCTGGCTGGCCCTCCACATGTCGCGTTGGACAAGGCGCAGCTCACTTTGAGCAGTGTGTTTTGTCGCGTGGTCTGTGAGCTGATATGTTCCAGTGTATGCGCCTTGACGTGCCGCCAAGTATGCATAGTAGTCGATATCGAGACCTCGCCGGCCCTGCGGGGCTGCGAACCGCGCAGTTGTCACCGCTTTCGTGGGCTCCGGGGAGGTCCAGCGGAGTGGAGGTGCACGCAGATCTGCCGAGACCTCGCGGCTCCTTGCGGGGTTGCGAACCGCGCAGTTGTCGCCGCTTTCGTGGGCTCTTCGGAGGTCCTGCGGAGTGGAGGTGCACGCAGATCTGCCGAGACTTCGCGGTGCCTTGCGGG